GCGTAGAAATTTAATATTAGCAATAAAAAAATAATTTTAAGGAAGCAGCTTTGGAGGGTCTATTTTAGATCCTTGAAGTTATAAATTGTTATATTTGTCGTCACTTAGTATTATACAGGGTGTTCAAAAAACTACTGATTACTTTTTTCAACTTTAAACAGCAATAACTTTGTTATTTTAAATGGGACACCCAGTATATTTTTACTTTGGGAGTTAGAAAATTTAAAACTCTTTCAAATTGTTATAGGTTCCCTATACCTATCTCTAACGGTATTGGAGATATTTGTGCCGTTTCTTTTTTTATCGATTTTTTTTGTAAGATGTATCCACGTGTCTTTATCGAGGTCTTTATTGAATTGGTTTGGGTTCTTCTTGATGTCTCTTTAAATATATTGAGAAAAATGCGGATGCATTTAGAACGCAGCTGCAAATTTTTCATATTCAGTAAGAAATTATTTAAATCGAAAATTTAGTAATAAATAGATAAGTAGGAATTGTGCATGTCAGTGGTCACGTAGGTGTCCAGACCTCACCGTAATGGACTTTTTTGTTGCTATATAAAAAATCTTGTACACAATGTTCCACATACTACTTGCGATGATACTGAAGGGAAGGATTAGAGATGCATTTGCGTGAGAATATCATTTGAAGATAGAATAAGATGCTGTATTCAAGAGAATGGTTATCAATCTGAATATCAATTAAAATTTTTCTTTGTTTCTTCTAAAAGTAAAATTTCCTTTTATCATTGTCATGACAATATTCAAAAAAGTTATCTAATAAAAAATATTATTTTATAAGCAGAATAATTATTATAAAAAGTTATTAATTTTGTATAAATATGTTTGTAGTAACTGAATTATTTATGAACATGAAAAATATTTATTAAATAAAATTTTACTTTTAGAAGAAACAAAGAAAAAATTTAATAGATTCGAATTGATAACTATTCTCATGAATACAGCATCTTATTATATCTTCAAATGATATTCTCACATTCCTTAGAATACTTGGGGTGATTGTGGCAAAATGCATCTCTAGTCCTTCCATTCATTTCATCGCAAGTAGGTGGAATACGTATATAAGATTTTTTACATAGCCAGAAACAAAGAAGTCCTTTACGGGAGGTTTGGACACCTAGGTAGCCACTGACATGGACCATTCCTACCCATTCATTTATTACTAAATTTTCGATTTAAATAATTTCTCACTGAATATGAAAAATTTGCAGGCGCAATTGCATCCGCATTTTTCTCAATATATTTAAAGAGACGTCATCAAGAAGAACATACAGGGTAGCCCATCGAAAACGTACCGCAAGACATTACAGGGTAGTAAAGAATTTTTCGGCAAAATCCAAAAACAGGTCAAATTTGTTTCTGAGGGGGACAACTTTTGGCTCAAAAAGCATACCAAAAGCTTCAACCCCCTAAGTGGGGGTGCTATCTCCTAAATTTTTTCAAATGGGAATGGGGGTCAAGTGGGGGGTCATTAGAAAGGGCTTTTAATTCTCTATACATCGATTCTTACTTTTTGAAAATCGATTCATTATTTTAGAAAATATGCAGCTTTGAAAATACGAACAATATTTTTGACGAGAAATGCGAAAATCGATTTAATTTTACTTCAAAACTTACGGTATTAGTCAAGTAAATGCTGAAAATGTTGTCCGCCAACTTGCATACAATGATACAGGTTGTCTTCAAACCGTTGTCGAACATTCTGGAGCACTTGCGGTGTTACTTCGCGACATACATTAATGATTCGTCCTCGCAGATCTTCCAAGGTATCAGGTGGAGTGCTGTAAACTTTGCTTTTAATGTGCCCCCAGAGAAAGAAATCTAAAGGATTTAAGTCGGGTGACCGAGGGGGCCACTCAATTGCACCTCTTCGTCCTATCCAGCGTCCTGGAAACGTCTCATTTAGGTAATTGCGCACATTGAGCGAG